ACACCCTCAAAAAGTTGCAATTGTTTTTGAGATTTCATTTCTTTAAAGTGTGTTTTCTAATGTTGAGAATGTAAATTTGTACATACTAGAACTTGAGAACTTTTGGTTTAGCTTGACTGAAAACTTAAGAGATCACTAGCATGAGAAAAGTAAGAACTGTGCCAGTTCAGTGAGGGTTTTATTTTATTTTTGTAAGATTTTTTTTTTTTTATTGATTTTTGGAGAGGGAGGGAGAGGGAGGGGGAGAGAGAAACATCGATGTGAGAGTGAAACAGATTGGCTGCCTCCTGCATGCCCTCAACCAGGGACTGAACCAGCAACCTTTCCGTGCAGGGGATGATGCTCAGCCAACTGAGGCACACCGTCCAGGGAACATGTTTTTAAAGTTTGCATATTAGAAAAGGTAGCAGAGACAACGATAGAGATTAAGACCACTTTGGAAAAGAGTATATCTGTTCCTGTATCTACTTCAGGGTGAAGAGGGAGGAGGGAAGTCTGAAACTTAACAGAAAAGTGGGTACTTGGAGAGGACTGATACCACTATTCATATCATGCAAAGGCATGGCATTGTCAGGTACCACCAAGGGATCTGCCTAGATTGCATAGACCAGTGTAACTGGAGGGAATGAGATAGAAGTGAGATGAGAGCACAGGGATATAAAATGGGAGCAGTAAATAATGACTAAATCTTGTATGCAACCCAAGAGAGATGAAAACTTTTCCAGTCAGCAATGCAGAATTATTGAACAGGGAAGACAATTAAATTTACATTATTTGAAGTATAGAAGGTATATCAAAGTGAAAACAACCAAGAGTGGAGAGATGTGATAGTACAGGTAAGAGATGTTGAAAGCTTGAACCAAGACTATATAATGTACTTAGGACAGAATGGATAGGATTAGATGGAAACTATAGGATTTGTTGGTTTACTGATGGGATATTTGCCTTTGAAGGAGAGTGAAGAGTTGGAGAAAGTTTCTCCAATTTTAGCAATGTATGTAACGCCTTTAAAGGAAAAAACATTCCTGGTCCTATGTAACTTAAATTACCGTATATACTGACATGTAAGGCAAACCCCAAGTAAAAGGCAATTCTATATTTGTCCAGTTCCCCAAAAAGATTTTTCTGGCCAACACAAATACGTAAATTTCTAGAGGTTTAAGTGAAATGATCAGATGCTTTTTTAGTAATATGTTTTTATTGATTTAACGCTAAATCATAATATTGTATATTAATGCTTTTTTCCACTCAGTGTTTCATGAAATAATTTTTGTTCACTCACATCATAGGAATATGTCTTTGTCAGCTATCAGACAAAGCTGTAGCTACTCTGTGTCATCTGACAGTTTTTGGGAGCATATGATTTTCACTTTATATTGAGATATAGAACTTTTAAAATTTGTATGTGATGGTCTTGTTGGAAATTTTATCTTAACTCCATTTATCCTAGGTATCCATTTGCAGTTTGTGATTTCCACAGTGTAACCATCTTGCTTTATAAATGAAATTTAAAATACGAATATATGCACACAATATAAAATTCAAAGGATACAGAAGAATTGTTTTGGCTGAAGCCTGGCCCTTCCCTGGTGTAATAACTGGTGAGCTGAGTACTATGCAGTAGCTTTAAGTCAGGTTATTAGACATGCAAGCAAACGTGCTAGATGTTGGCGATACCAAGACAAAAACCAGTCCTTGTGTTCAGGAAGCTTCTCTTTTGGAGGAGCCAGAAAGTAAACCAACATTTACTGCTTAGTAGTATATCCATGTGTATTATATTATAGAGACTGTCAGAGGGATAGGAGTGGAGAGGTAGTGAGAAACCTTTGCACACAAGTTGATACAGTGACGTGTAGGGTGATTCTTGAGCATACATGAACCAGATGAAGTAGGTGAGAGGGCTGAGGAGGATAAGGATATTCCAAGCATGAAATTCAGTGCACTGAATTGTGTAGGGTGTGGAAGAGGAGAAGCAAAGCCTGAGGGATAAGTTGAGACCTGATCACAAAGGACTTTCCAGATCATAAGGACTTTGTAGGTGTCAGAAAGTCATTAAAGAAATTGGGGTGTGATACAGTCAGACTTGTATCTTGGAACATAACCTCAGCAGCCAGGTGGAAGATAGAATGATGATCAGTTAGGAGCCTACTGCAGTAATCCAAGTAAGAAGTATTAAGGGCTTGCTTTAAAGCTTTAGAGATAGTAAAAAAAGAAACAGAAATAAAGCCTTAGAGATAGTAGTAGAGAAGAGATATTAAGAGTAGAACCAGCACTTCCCTTTCTGGCAGTAGGGCTGAACTAGAGAGATATCACGGATAACCCTCTTGCTGAGGAAAAAATCTGGGGGAAAATGTGTATTTAAAAAAATCTTTCAGAATGTATCATTGGTCTGGCAAGAAAGTAAGGAGTACACAGAGACTAAAAATGAAATTAAATCAGGAATGCAGGTGTTAGCTAGATTTAAAGCAAGCCTTCATCCTAGTGGAATCTGCCCAAACTGATTGGCATTGACCTCCTTTGATAAGTGTGTTAAGGCACAGGATACAGGAAACAAAGCCTGTGGCCTTCCTAAGGAGAGGAGTCTAAAAGAAGACCTCTGCCACTTAATGAAGTTGAGACATTGATTCAACTTTGGTAGTTGGGGAGTGGCAGGCGGTAGCTTCACTGAGAATTTATAACAGTGGTCCATATAGGGTCACATTTCCCATGTGGTCTTGTAAAATTTCAAGTCAAGAATGTATTTGAAGTGGTCCCTGTTTGGTAGTGCCCACAGGTGCCTTACAAAATCTATCAAGTCATATCTGCTTAGGCTTCAAAAATCTACAGGTCAAAATTCCAAGGCGCATGAGATCTCAGTAAAAAAAATCACAAAATGAACAAAAACCATGGCACAGTAAGCAACAGCCAGCAGAAACAAGACAGTGTGACCACCTAGAGACTGCAGAAAGTTTGTTTTGTCTTATTAACTCTGATAAGTTTAATTAATGTTGACATATGAATATGAAGTAAGGCTCTCTGAAACACGACCAAGCAGATTAGGAAAAAATAAAAAACAGAACTTCTAATTATAAAAAATTAACTGAAATTAAAAGCTTAGTGAGCAGATAAAAACAGTTTAGCACAGCCTAGAGTGAAGAGTTATAACACATTTACTTGGAGTTTCAGAAGGAAATAAGTGTGACTGGAGGAGTAAGGTAATTGTTAAATAGAAATGGCTGAGAATTTTTCAGAATTTATAAAAGATAACAGTACTTATATATGGTGGAAGTCCAGCGAATCCCAAGGAAGACAAATAAAATAAGCCATGACAAATTAGGGTGAAACTGCAGAAGACCAAAGACAGAGATCTTAAAAGCAACTGGAGAGAAACAACAGATTGCTATACAAGTGTTTTTCTTTAGCAACCGATTTCCCAGCAGCAACAACAGAAGCCAGAGGACAGTGGAATGCAATCTTCATTGTACTGAGAGAAAATAGCTGTTAGCCTTAAGAAAATAGAACACGTATTCAGTAAAACTGTATTTCAGGAATGACAGCAAAATAAAGACATTTTCAGACCCTCTGCTGCCCCTATACTCACAACCAGCAGACCTTACTGAAGTAGATTGTAAGGGACATCAATCAGGTAGAAGGAAAGTCATCCCATTGGAAAGCTGAGATTCTTTTTAATGACCACAAAATGTTTCCTCAAATAGATTCTATAAATCAAACTCTACTATTGGACATTTATGTTTTCAATTTTTCATATTAAGTAAAGTTATACTGGACATGTATGTGGACATGTTTATGTATGTATTATTTTATGTAGGGTAAATAATAAAAGTATATGTCTTTTTACTAGAAGCCCATATTACTGGGTCAAAAAAGGAACAAGTATTTTTGTTTCTTGATACATGTTGTAAAATTGTTTTCCTAAAGGGCTTTACTAATTTGTATTGCATCTAGCGACTATGCTGGCTTTACAGATGAGTAAGTGTGTGATAGGGCCAGGTTTAAATGATGAAGATTGACATTTCTTACCAGGTTTTGACGTATATCTTTGACAAAAATGTTCTGTCTCACTTCTCTCCCACTGTTAAGAAAAATGCTTTCTTTTTCATAGAAATTAAATACTGTTGGCTGGAGCGTTGTCCCATACACCAAAAGGTTGTGGGTTTGATTCCTGGTCAGGACACATACCCAGGTTATGGGTTCGATCCCTGGTCAAGGTGCATATGAGGAGGCAACTGATGGATGTTTCTCACATCGATGTTTCTCTCTCCCTTCTCTCTAAATCAATAAAAGCATATCCTCGGATGAGGATTAAAAAAAAAAATGAAATGAGAACTGAAATGTATTCTTTCTAATAATTTCTAACCTTCTAGAATGTAGTCTGATTTTTTAAAATCTTTTTTTGTTTATTAACAAATATATTGTTGATCCATTTAAAGAAATATCAGATAAATACTTTAGTTTTTATTATGAAGGAAGACTATTTTAATGCTGCTACTTCTTTTCTAGCTCAGTATACCACACTATAGCAACAGTGTAGAAAGTTATTTTTTATTTAATTTATTTATTATTTTGAGAGTACATTTATTAAGGCTGGGGACAGTGAAACAAGGAAGGGCTTAGGATAGACAAAGCAACAGGAGAGAGCCTAGGTGGAGCTGCTTTGGCTCACTGGAAGTCAGAGAAAGTGCCTTGGAGGCAGGGTCAGGGAATTAGCCTGGGATGAGCTGCCACTGCCCATTGCTCCCCTGGTTGCAAGTCTGGTGGGGACTCTTAGAGTTTAACAAATGCATGCCTGTGGGGAAGAAGAGGGGGAAGGGAAAGGTACAGGCATGCTCCTGAGATGGGGAGAGTGCCAATAGTGTAAAAGTTTAAATAAGTTTTTGTTTTTAAGTTACTCATTCTTAAAGGGAAAATATATTGTCAATTTGCTTGGAAATTCTGTATTCTAAGAACTGAACATAAGAAGGTGTTATTTTTTAACCTTTAACCTCTTTCTGCTATTTCAGGTGCAAGTGAAAGTGTAGGGAAACATATGCTTGAAGCCTGCAATAATAATCTGGAGATGGCAGTCACAATGTTTTTGGATGGTGGTGGAATCGCTGAAGAACCCAGTACCAGTTCAGCAAGTGTCTCCACTGTTAGACCACACACAGAGTATGAATTTATTATTTCTTGTTAGGAGCAACCCCCTGCCTAAATTCAGTAGTTGCATTTTTATTAGGTTAATTCTCTGTATTTGAAAAAAATTATAAGTGGAAAGCTTCTGAAAAAGTGTCAAATAGAAAATTTTACACTTAAATGCTTTAAATTCTCTAAAACATTGTCATGTCTATTATTTAATCTTCAAAAGAACCCTGTAGGATGGCATTATTATGGGTTTTACATGTTTTACAGCTGAGGAAGCAGAAGCATAGCCATTTTCCCAAGCTACACAGCAGTTAAGTAGCAGATATGGAAGTAAAGCCCATAAAGTTCAGATTTCCCAATTCTATTTCTTACATTGTCCCAGGAAAGTTTTGAGCTGCCATGAAAATTTTTTGAAAAATAGTTCTAGTCCTTTAAACCTTAAATAGTTACATGTAGTTAATTATTAGAAGCACCTTCAGTATATGGAATTGTACTATATAGAGAATAGTAATAAATGGTAAACAGATTTGGGTTTTTTTGCTCTTTACATTTCATACTAATAGGAGCTTGAAATGAATACCTTTTGGGCAAAATTCCAACAGTTTGGAAAATATTAGAAATGAATGTTACTCAAAGGAAAACCATTGATTTTTTTTTTAAACAAAATTTAAAGGATTCTTAATACGTAAATACTCATAGTCCTTTATAACTCATTGTTTATAACATGAGGTTCAAAGTAGAGGAATCCCCTTAAATAGGGATAGACAGAAGACGAAGATTTTATTTTTACTAAATTAGACACAGATTTAAGAGGCCAAATAACATTCAGGACATTCTTGCCTCTTTTTATTGATATAGTTCCACATTTTAGAATAATACTGTTTCCACATGAAGCATGAACTTTAGAGATCATTATTAATATCTTGTAAAGTTTTTTCTCTCCCAATGTTGGTCATATATTTCAGGTGTGATATCCCATTCTCTCTCAACATAGCGTGTAAATCAATATGAAAACATTTATTTTACAGAAACTTGAGTAACAGTTATTCACAGCAGATTTGGGAAAACATCTGTCCTCACTATATAAAACATGTTTTCTTAATTGTGTTTAAAAATAGTGTTGATAAATTAATGTCTTTCCCTATTGAATTACAGTATAATTTGATTTAGATTATCTGTTTTGTTAATTGGTTCACATTTGATAGTGGCTCCTAATTCCTAAACTATAATTTTCATTCTTTATAGTTTAACTTTTTCTGCTCCATTTTTCCATCTTGTTAGGTAGTTAACAATCTTGGAACAGATACCCTCAAATATGTAGTAATCATGTCTTTCTGTGTAGGCACTACAGCTGATTGAGACACTTATATTTAATAGTGAGGTATGTCAGTAATGGAAAGATTTAGGTAAAAGATATCTTTTAAATTATTAGTTTTCTTAAGATAATGACCTGTTTTTCTTAGATGAAAGAAGATTAATAGAGCTTCTTCTTACCACATTGTTCCTTCAGATAATTGAAATTCTGTCTGTAAGTGGTGACAGATATCTAGTAGGAAAGAGTAATTATTTAGGATAATTATAAAGGATAATTTTGAATTATCCTTTATTCTTTAGTTATTTGGCTTATTGTATATTTCTTTGTCTAGTTATTTGATTACAGGATGTTAGTTCTTGTTGACAAATGAATGTTCATACTTTATTTCATAAAGTATGTTTAGATTTTCTACTCTTAGATACCAAAAAACAGGGCCTCCAGTTCAGTTATTACTATTAGAAATGCCTGAATGAAAAACACAGGGCCTAACTTAACATTAATTATAAGCAGAAAATAATAAATTTGGAACTTACTATTTGCTATGAACATTAATCAGAATGTAATATTTGAGTTAAAACTATAAAATAAATTGATATTTAAAGGAACATACACCATTTTTACAGTATATCTAAATGAGTATTTTTTTTTTACTGGAAGAGATGGATTATTAGTAAACCCTCTAGAAGTAAACTTTGAAGAGTTTACAGGCTTTTATAAGATGAGTAATTACTTTTTCTGTTCTGTATGTAGTAGGGTCTATTTATAAATAATCCAGGGTAATACCTATGTTGGCCATCTTCATAACTAGTATAAAATTCACTGCATATTTGTTTAAGCTTATTTTACTATATCTGTGTAATTTAATTATTTATTTGATGTGGTAGTAATAGTGCTTTTATTAAGCCAATATTTTTAATTAATTTTTTGCCTTTTTTTTTTTTTTTTTAATTCCCTCTCTTTTTTTGGAAAGAATTTAGGTTAGAGAACTTGAGAGGAAAGGGTAAACACTTTTTATATTTGTTTGTTCTCTTTCTTTGTAAATCATTTGAGATATCTGTGCCATGTACTTTATTCCAATTAGTCTCTATATGGAAACTATCTAACAAGCATTCATCACTGTGGTTCCTAAAAGTCACTAAGACTGGTATTCATTTTACTTTTTAGTTTGAATATTTCACAGTAGTTACAGAGAAAACAGGTAACAAAAAAACAGTTTTCATGTTGATATTTTCCCACTTTTTTTTAATAGAGAAGAAGTTCGTGCCCCTATTCCTCAAAAGCAGGAAATATTGGTGGAACCAGAACCTTTGTTTGGTGGTAAGTTCCTCTTTTTTCCTTAGCTTCATTTGACGTTGCTGTTGTCTCTAGGATTTTAATGAAGCTATCAAAAGATGTGAAGGCTTGCTCAGATTGTTACTTCAAGTATAGAGTCAGTTCTTATCTTGTGATTGTGTATTTTCAGGAAACTTGCACAACTGATCTTTCCAAGGAGTGAACCAGTGTAAAAAGTTATATTTGTTGCAGAAGGCCAAGGGAGGGAAATTAGCAAAAAGAACTCCTGCCTTCTAATGGAAACCAGTTAATCATTAAAGATTCCAGCTATTTTTATGTTCTGTATACCTACCTGACTGTCATCATCTTGCTGTATTAATATGCCTTACTTTCACTCTTTCTTAATTTCTAGACATGCTATTCCTATTTTGAACAAAGGAGAAAGTGATACCTAATTCGTGTAAAAAAATGTGGTATCAATATGGGTGCATAGAGAAGATGATAAAAAATAAGATGTTTAATCAGATTTAAAGAAAATTTATAGTTTTAGTTTCATAAACACTTATTTACTTTTTGTGAGCCAACTATTTTAGCATTACCAGGTATATTAAAAAATAGAAGATAAAGTAATCTAGTTGGGCAGACAAATGCATAGAAATGTATATTGTACATATTGAGAACAGTAATGCAGAGAAATAAGCTTATGAAAAGTTTATAGGTAAACTAGACTAAAGGAGAGCAAATAAGTTGTAAGACAAGGATGAAGAAAAGTATATAAACCATATCTTTTTTTAAAATTGAATTTATTGGGGTGACATTGATTAATAAAATTATGTAGGTTTCAGGGGTACAATTCTATAATACATCATCTGTATATTGTATTCTGTGTTCACCACCCCAAGTCAAGTCTCTTTCCATCACCATTTATTCTCCCTTTACTCTCTCCTACCTCCCCTCAACCCCCTTTCCCTTTGGTAATCACCATACTGTTGCCCATCTATGAGGTTTTTTTACTTAATCCCTTCACCTTTCTCTCCCAGTGCCCCCCACAGTTGTCAGTCTGTTCTCAGTATCAATTACTGTTTCTGTTTTGTTTGTTAGTTTTATATAAACCATATCTTTTTTTAAAAGATATGTTTTTTATTGATTTTAGAGAGGAAAGGAGAGGGAGAGAGAGAAACATCGATTGATCGGTTGCCTCCTGCACATCTCCCATTGGGGATCCAGCCAGGAACTTGGGCATGTGCCCTGACTGGGAATCTATCAGGCCACCTTTTGGTGCATGGGGCAATGCCAGCCAACTGAGCCACACTGGCCAGGGCCATATTTGATTTGAAAAAGCACCTTAATTGATCTTTAATTTTAGTTTTGGAGATTACTATAGCAAGAAATAAAAGAATATACAGTTTAGATTCAGAAATAGAGATGGAAGGAAGAAAACTATAAGATCTCAATATTGAGGAATAATATGTGCTTTCTATATTGTTCAATTCAGCCAGTCATTGTGTTGTTAATATACTTACTTTCACTCTTTCTTAATTTCCACTGTGAAGTAATAAAGCAAGTAATAATTTTAAAATGTATATAAATGTTATGAATCGATTTTTAGAGCCAAGGAGTAATACACTTGGAAGCTTTGTCTTTTCTTTTTTTAAAGAAATATATTTTATTGATTTTAGAAAGAAGAAGGGAGAGGGAGAGAGAGATAGAAACATCAATTATGAGAGTCATGCCTCCTGCATGCCCCCTACTGGGGATGGAGCCCACAACCCAGCTATGTGCCCTGACCGGGAATCAAACCTTGACCCCCTGGTTCATAGGTAGACTCTCAACCACTAAGCCATGCTGGCTGGGCTATTTTTTCTTAATTGCAAGGAAGAAGGCAAGATCTTTGAGTGGAGAAAGACTACAGGAAATACATTCTATGCTGTTTTACTGTTGAACAGAGGCAGAAGAGTTCCCATTTGAAATCTCACTTTCCTCCTTTTACTTCTGGTTTGATATACATTAGGAGGAGGATGAGAATGACTTATACAGTTAGGAATCACTCTGAATTATCATTATTGGACCTTATTATAACTTAAGAAAGGTCTTTGGAGAATTATTTCTTTTTAGGACAATATTAATTTAAAGTGTGATTCTTAAAGTGTGGTCAGCAATTCCTGACAATCTAAGGGAAAAGAGGTCAGTGCCCCTGACTAAATAGTCAGGTAGTGCATGTTTTAAAAATTCTTGTGGCACACTGGTTGAAAATCAGTCTTAGTCTAACCTGAATTGGATATTGGCAACATTTGTAGCTTCATCTCCATGGGGAGTCATCCTTAAAATCTTCTTTCTTCCTATCTTTTACACAGGTTGGTCAAGTCTCTTTAACTGGACCTTAATTTCCTCATTTGTAAAACAAAATTGTTGGGCTGAAGATGGTTGAGCTAATTATATATGAACGACTTGAAGGTTTTTAAAACACTTCATTTTTTGAAGGAGGGCACCATTATGAATCTATGAGTGTTTTAAAACATACTTATAGATAAGGAAGCTTTTAGAATTGTTTTAAAATTAATGTTTAAATTTTTGTGTCAATTCTATTTTTCCCCCTAAAGCTCCTAAAAGACGGCGGCCTGCACGTTCAATATTTGATGGTTTCCGGGATTTTCAAACTGAAACTAGTAGGTATCTATGGATCAGTTTATCCTCCCTCTGTCTGTCTGCTTGTCTCTCTCCCCTTGTCTTCCTCTCCTTTCCTTTCCCCCCTCTCTCCCACATATAAAACCACAAGGTAGAAAAGTGCCCATACACTCCCCTACAGGTCAGGATCTTAGTTTTATTTATATCCTTTTTCTTAAAAAGAAAAAGATGATTAATATGAGTTCTAATTACTTTGAGGAGTCACCTTATTTTAAAAGTAAAAATATGAATTCAGCCTGTGATTGTTATTAATTCCTCCAGAGCAGAATTGTTCTAAATTTTAACGTAGTCAGTGATGGGAGAATAATAAGAGAGGTGGAGATAATGTAAAAATTAGGCAATTTACAAACTTAATGAGCTTTTGAATGAGCACTTAAATACTGACTATAATAAAATAAAAAGCTCATTACCTTCAAGATCTGTCAATTAAAGTAATGACCACAATGAAAATGGTTATTGTAGGGGAATTGAAAAATAGAAGAAAAAGCCACACCACCCAAAGCAGCCAGTATTAACATTTTGGTTACAGTTGTGTAGAATAGGTTTATATCTTTCTGTGGAATAAGTTAGAATGAGAATCTTGACCTTACACTTTTAGAGGAATTACTACTGATTTAGCAATGGAATTCTAAAAAGGACAGTTATGCTTAGAGAATATGTAAGAAACTCTTGGACCATGTTTGATTTTATAGTTGACTTATAATAAGCTCACTGAGGCACAAGTAGGTCTTGTAATTTTGGAGAGTGTTGAAGGGGAACCCAAACTGACTCAGGTCATCCAGGGAATCCTGTGCCCTGCCAGGAGAAGGTGATAGCAATGGTCATTCTTGCCTATTGCCAGAAACTTTAAAGATTGGGAATATAGCTAGAAACTACAGATAAATTAGGATCACTTTTAGAACTAGATAAATGGAGTTGAAAGTTTTCTTCAATGCTAAAGTTAATTTTGAGTATATGAAGGGAATATTTTGATTATGTGACTGTAATATATATTGCTGCTTTTATCCTTACCTTTGGGTAGAAAGCCACCACTGAGACTTAAGACTACCTCCTCACCTTTCTTTGTATTGTTTTCAGAATCAGCATTTAATATTTGCGTTGGAGGTCAAGCACATTGTTCAGTAGTTCTTGCAATTGATAACATGTTTTTTATACTGTGAGATTTATGCTTTTTATTTATGGTTAGTTGAAACTTTCACATCCTCCTGTGTTTCAGTTCGGCAAGAACAGGAATTAAGAAATGGAGGAGCCATAGATAAGAAACTAACTACCCTTGCAGATCTGTTCCGGCCACCCATTGATTTGATGCATAAAGGCAGCTTCGAAACAGTAAGTAGTTGGAAATTCTAAGCCTTAGCTATGAATTCTTTTGCATTTTCAATGCCATTTTTTTTCTTTTTAAGAGAGAAAAAGTTTTCAACATACCGTATAGAGAATTGGCATCTTAATAAGTACGATATGGATTATACCTAAAAGGTTACATAAACTTATATTTGTACCAGCAGTATATGAGATTGCTTGATAAAATCATTTTATTAGCCTGTGTGGTATCATTTTAGATAGTTCTTTTTTAAATATTACTTTTTAAAATCTTACTCTTATGCCATTTTGATAGTTCTTTTTAAAATCTTTTTCAAAAGCTTATATATCTTTGATTACTACTGAGAATAGTGTGCATGTGTTTGTTGGCTATTTGTGGTTTGTAGGTATCTTTGCCCACTTTCCTAGGGGGTTCCTAGTGTATTTTAAAAGAATTATCTCTAGTTGCAGAATACATTTTCACTCACTTCTTGGCTTTAACTTGGCCAATACCAAAGAAAAACTTTTCAGAGCAGATTTATTTGATTATCTACTAAATTATAAGCTTAATAAGGGCAGGGGGACTGTACTTCTTTTTCTTTTTTTGTAAACCTTGGGACCCAGTCTCTAGAATTTTATAGGACCTAGTATTGTTAAATGACTGAGTTTAGTTAGGATTTTAACTGTTCTGTTGAGGTGTTCAAATAGCTTGTGACTAGCTTATTAATGCTCTTTTGTATTAGAATGGCATTTGCATAAATGTAAATCACTTAAATTTCAGGTAAAGTCTTATCTGTTAGGATAAAGTAAGCCAAACAATAACCACAAAAATGATGTTAGTAGCTACAGCTACATATTTGAAAGTGAATTATGATGGTTTTAAAAAATGTTCTTTCCTTCGCATGCTCTTATACTAGCCTAAATGAAGTATTTAGGGTAAGAAATTTAACCATAAGCTTGTTCTTCAGTTTTAATTTTCTGAATTGTAAAAACTGAAAGTGTTTGGATACATGTAACAGAAAATCCAAATGATGGTGATTTGACCAAACAAGGGTTTCTTTTTGTCATGTAAAGAAATCTAGAGTTGAGGGAGTCTTTGGTGTTTATTTATCAGCTCAAAGATGTCAGGTTAGATGCCTCCTCAGTTTTCTTCATTTTTCCTCATGATCTTAACATGGCAGCCACCTATCCTTTCTAGTGTTCCAGGTGCTTATTGGCCTATCCTTTCTAATGTTCTGGCGATAATACAGCTATTGAGAGAGAAAAGCAGCAATGTGAAAGACAAAAATGATCTGAGTTTGTTCTGACATGTTTTCCTTTTCATTAGCTTTTGAGTTGCTCTAGGGCTTAATGAAATAACTCTGAGCTTGATTTAATATGGTCACTTTGGGCTCATAAAATGCAGTTATTCTGATGCTTGTTCATTGAGGGAAAATGTGAATCTTTTTTGAAATTGTCATCTGAAGTTTGATTCATTTTTTAAAGTTATATCACCTTTTTTTCTTTATTTCATGACCTGTATTGTTTGCAATGATCTATTTATGTTTTCAGTAATACTCAACTTTATCATTTATGAGTCTTTACATTACATTAACACTCCCAGAAAACATAGGCATTTCATTATAACTAATGATATATCCATTAATTTTATATAAATTAGGGAGGTAATATGCAAAATTAAGTCACTGACGTTTAGAGAGGTGAATGTTAAAAATTATAAGGACCCTCTTTGGTTGCTCAGGCAGGGCCCAAATGTAACTAGAGGTAGACCATATTCGAGGGTTTTGAAGAGACTGATTAATTTACTTGTTCATTTAATATTTATCGAGGCCTCCTTTTGTAAGGCCTTGTTCTAGGTGATAGGGATTATATTTGTTGGGCTAAAGATATTACTGCATGTGAGATAGACCAGGAAGAAAACAAATAGTTTAAACAAAATAGAAGTCCAGGTGATTAGGATCATTCTACTCTATGAAGTTACTAGCAGTGTAGTGTCTTTGTCTTTTTCTTCTATATCCTAGGTCTTGTATGCCTTTGTCCATATGATTCCAGGTGGCTTACCATCGTGTTTGCTTTCCAGCCAGAATGAAGGAGGGAGGGGGTTGAGAAGGGTATACCTTTTCCTTTTAAAGGCACAGCCAAGAAGTTGAACACATCACTTCTGCTCACATCCCATTGACCAGAACTTGGCCATATGGTTACACCTAGCTGCAAGGGACACTAGGAAATCCAGGTGCTTAGAAAAAAATGGATATTTGGTAACTATAAGCAGTTTCTGCCACAGGTAGATAATGATAAACAAATTACACAAAGTTCTTGCCATCAAAGCGTTTATAATCAATAGGGAGAAACAGACTATAAACAAATAAAAAACAAATGTGTGTCTATATATATATATCTGTATATAACATTTAGTATGTATATATGTCAAGTATGTTCGATGTGTGTGTCTAGAGAGATAGGGTGTTATTTTAGGTTACAATATATAGGGGGAGAAAATAAAATAGAATAAGGGAAGGAGAGAGGGCAATTTTTTGTTTGGAGCCACTAAGGTGCATGTGTACTTAAAAACAAAATTAAAAGCAGGGTTGATTTCATAAGTTTCACATATGTTTGTAAATGTAAGGAGAGAGGACTGTTTTAGATAGGAAGACCAGGGAAAATTCTGAAGGATGAGATTTGAATAGAAACCTGAATGAAGTGAAGGAATGTGAACCATAGGAATATCGGGGGGAAGAGCAGGTAGTAAGGAACTGATGTTGGAAGGAACTAGGGTGTATTTCTGGTACAGCCAAGGAAATCAATATAGTTGGAACTGAGTGACCCACTTAGGATGAATGATCTGACCTGGACAAGGGAATATTTTACCTGTAAGTTCCATGAACACAGGAACTTTGTTTTATTTGTCATCGTATTCAGTGCCTAAAAGAGCTTTTGGCATGTAATTGACCCTCATTAAATCTTTGTCAAATGATTGAATGGCATAATCTGGCGTATATTGTGCAGAAAGAATCAGAACAATTTTCATAATATTTCCTTATTTTCATAAGAAATGCATATTTATTTGTTGCCATTTAGTTACACATGCACCTAGTCCTAATCAATAAGAACACTTTGTTAATTTCAAAAGTCCTACTGTGTATGCAAGTAAAAATATTTTACTAAAAATGTAAAGAACCAATTCAATAACAAAATATGTAAGATAAACTTTTTTTTTTAAATATATCTTTATTGATTTCAGAGAGAGGAAAGGAGAGGGAGAGAGAGATAGAAACATCAATGATAAGAGATTCATTGATTGAGCCCGCAACCCGGGCATGTGCCCTGACTGGGAATTGAACCCCGATCGCCTGGATCCCAGGTCGACGCTCAACCTCTGAGCCACGCCCGGCCGGGCAAGATAAACTTTTAAAAAATAATTTTTATATGTAGCTTATATTTAGTTTTATTTAAATTTGGCGAATTAGAAAACTAGTAAGGAAAAATAATAAAATAATAATTTCCATTAATGTGCATATTTTAATATATTCCCTTCTTGACTTTATGCATATCTATTATTGAAACATATTTTTTCCTCTGTATCTTTTTTTTTCCTTAACTTTACTGATCTGGAGAATGGGAGAGATAGAAGTCTCCCACTGTTTCCCTGTTGTCACAGATAAGCTGTATCTATTTGGTGTGGCCACACTTGTCCTTGGGTCTCCATGTAATGGCTTTTGAGTGTTGATTCAGAACAACCTAATAGATTCCGAGAGGGAAGGCTCATCAGTTGTCCCGTGGCTCACTCTTACCTCTAGTCCTTGACTCATATAATTAGTGAGATTGTGTATATAAGACTCTCATTCCCTCCAAACATTGTTGCTTTTAATAAAATTCATGTCTTCTTTGGGCCTTTCTTCTAGCAGTAATTTCTTAACAGCATCTTCAGTTTCTTGTACTGATTGATACAAAGTTTCTCCCCAGTGTATGCTTTATGATAGCAGGATTTTTTATTCTTTGGTAAATGCTATAATTCCATCATCTGTAGCTGTGCCTGAAACATGGTAGGCACTCAGTAAGGTATTTGTTGAATGAATAAATCTGAATTAATGAAAGCATGAATAGGAATAAATGAATTTTTAAAAACGAAAGCAAATCACTCTCCATCATTTTTAAACTCTTGACTTTTTTCCCCCTTGTCCGCATTGTACTTTAGGCAGACTTATGTAAATATACCGTTATAGGGATAAGTACTCTCCAATCTGTTTCTCTAGAAATGTGTATTAATTTTTTTTATTCTCAAATACTTTTTCTTCAGTTAAGGCAGTATAATTACTCATTTATCACCTATCTATTAAATTCATGTGTATGCTATAGGTAAGGAAATTGAACACTGTTACTTCCTAGGAGTAAGGAGTAATTTTATTACATTTGTATACTTTAAAATAAGCGTTTGATGAGTTAAAATTCAGCTTTCTGGCTCAATACAGGGGTATTTAATTTCATTAAAAAAAAATTATCTTTAAAAAAAATTTATCTTTATTGTTTAAAGTATTACAGATGTCTCCCTTTCCCCCCCATTGATCCCTCCACCCAATACCCCTCCCCCCAGGCCTTCACTGCACTATTGTCTGTGTCTATGGGTTATGCATATATACATATAAATTCTTATAATCTCTTCCCACCCACCCCTTCCTTTCCACCCCCGGCCGGGCACCATTTGTTTTGAATGATAGCCTTGCTGGATAGAGTAGTCTTGATTTCAGATCCTTGCTTTTCATTACCTTGAATACTTCATGCTATTCCCTTCTGGTTTGTAGAGTTACTGATAAGAAGTCAGCTAACAGCCTTATGGGAGCTCCTTTGTAGGTAACAGATTGCTTTTCTCTTGCTGCCTTTAACATTCTCTCTTTTTCTTGAATTTTTGGCATTTTAATTATGATGTGTCTGGGCATGGGCCTCTTTGGGTTCTTCTTGCTTGGGACTCTCTGTGCCTCCTGAACTTGTGTGACTTTTTCCTTCACCAAGTTAGGGAAGTTTTCTGCCATTATTTCTTCAAACAGGTTCTCTAACCCTTGCTTACTTTCGACCTCTTCTGGTATTCTTATGATGTGAATATTGTTACATTTCATGCTGTCCCACAGCTCCCTTAAACTGTCCTGTTTAATTGTCTTTTCTTTTTGGTTCTCTGATTGAGTGACTTTTTTCTACCCTGTCTTCTGATTTGCTGATCCGATCCTCAGCTTCCTCTAATCTGCTGTTCATTCCTTCCAATTTTTTTTTATTTCTACTGTGTCATTCTTAATTTCTTTCTATATGCTTTTTCATGCTGTTGAACATCTTTATGATCAGTGTTCTGAACTCTGTCTGATAGATTGCTTATCTCCATTTCATTTTTCTCTTCTTCTGGAGAATTCTTTTGTTCTTTCATTTGGGACTTGTTTTTTTGTCTCCCCATTTTGGCTCCCTGTTTTGTCTTGTTTCTTTGTATTAGGTAGATTTGCTAGGACTCCCAGTCGTTTGGATGGTCTCTGGTGCAGGCCAATGTCAGATGCTGTTTGTGACTTGCCTTCAGTACCCTATTTGAAGTTTTCCACACTCCACAGCTTTTGGTTTCCTCTGCTGGGTCTGCGTGTGTTTGGTTTTTGGATGGGACCAAGATGTGCACCATGGTCTGCTTTTCCAACCCTGGGTCCAGAAGCAAATCAGGCAGACTCAAAGCACCCAGAGGCTGTTATTCAGTCTCTTAATGAGCCTCAGGTTGTAGAAATTCCATAGGGTAGGGTGGCTGATTGTTATCAGTCTCTTAAGGAGCCTCAGGCTGTAGAAACTCCGCAGGGTGGGGCCAGAGGTTTCCCAGCAGGGTCAGCAGTTGCTACCTCTCTAGGCAAAAGCTGCTTGGAAGGTAAAAGTCTGCCTAAGAAAGATGTCCTCTGCCATATGGGGGGGATGACTCAGCACCGGAGTCCAGATGGGTCCCCTGTGAGATCTGTTCACCCAGCCAGCCCTACTGGATTCTCCTCACACTGCTCTAGTCCACTCTGCCTCCGCCAGAGCACAAGGTGAGTGGCTGCACCCGAAACTTTGTGTGTTGGCCCTTTAAGAGGGTGTCTGCATTTCCAGCTATCTCTCCCTGGCAAACAGAAATCCTGCTGCTTTTCACAGCCAGATGTTATGTGGGTACCTTTCTCACTTCTGGTGCTCTGGACTGGGAGCACAGCTTGGGGTTTAGACCCCAGAGTCCTCAATGGGAACCCCCAACACCTGAGATACCCTCCGCACCTTCATGTGCTGTTCGTGGGAGTGCAGCCAGCCCTCTCGCACCTCCGCACTTTCTACTAGTCTCTCTGCATTCTCCACATTTCGTTCTTGAATATGAGGGTGCTCCCCAGCTAGTCTTCAGTTGCAGTTGATTATGCAGGGTGGTTTTTCTGTATTTTAGTTGTAATTCTAGTTTCCTCCTGGGAGAGTGTCAGTGCAGCTTCCACTCAATCTGCCTTCATCTTGGATCCTCCAGAGATATTTCCTGTTTAAACTTGTGTTTTCACCTATGGAATCAACAGTGAATATTAGAAAATGATTTTCTCTGGGGGATTTATACCAAAAAATAGGATAACAGTATTTGTAAGACTGTGTAAACCTTCTTAAAGAAGAAGATAGTCTTATATTGTCTAATACCTCCAAAATGATGTGTTCAACTGTTATTTACCTGAGTTAATTGAAGATTTTTCTATTTTAAGCTGATAGAAAATAATATTGTTACAAAACAAAATTACTCAAAACTATAGCTTTCATTTCATTGTTCCTATGCAAAGGTTTAAGGAAGCATTTGCTTGCTCATTTGCTTTTCTGCCAATCTTTGCATTCAGCAACCCTTTAAGGTTTTTATAGCGACAAGGTACTGTTAGGCGAAAAGTACACACTCATGATTAGTATTTGTGCTATAAATTGGGAGGTCTTTTAAAGATAATTCTGAAATATTCTTTGATCTATAATCTCATTTTTTTAAAAATCTACTCCTAAGAAAACAACCGGAAGAGAAAAAACCCTCAGCAGCTTTTATTGAAATGTTTAGGGTGATTCTATAAAATAGCACATGCCTAACAGTTGAGATGAATATGATAATTTGGAAATGTGGATAGATATGATGTTGAAGAAAATGAAACAACATAAAGTGATATACACACACTGGTTACATCTATTAAAAAGGAAGTGGTATATTTGTGGGTAGGGGTTGAAAGAGACAATGCAATAGAATTATGTGAAATTAATTAAATTTCAGATGTTTAAATTGTACAATAAAAATTCAGCTATTATAACAATAACAGTTTACTTAAATTTGAAAAATACTTGAAAATGGACAGTATAATTATGTATACCTATGCAAATTAGTGTAAATAATGTATAAATACCAAAAACTCTAGATGTCATACTTAAGGAAAAAAACTTAGTAGTATTTAAATGAAAAGATCACAGTTTCTGAGCTCTGAAACATATTGGTTACTAAGTAGAAATTATTTCTAACAGGTGTTGTATAACTTTACTCTTACAGGCCAAAGAGTGTGGCCAGATGCAGAATAAGTGGCTGATGATAAACATTCAAAATGTGCAAGACTTTGCATGCCAGTGCCTCAACCGTGATGTATGGAGCAATGAAGCTGTGAAGAATATTATCCGGGAACATTTCATTTTCTGGCAGGTGAGGAGAGTTAATCCGAGTTTTAGTAGTAGTTTACTTTTGTAGTATGGAATGCTGAGAAGGAGGAATTTAGTTACAAACTGGAAAAAAATTAATAACTGAGTTAAATTATTACATGAAAAAGTAAAACCACCCATAATGGCTGAAATAGTAAGGACAAGTGAAAATTAGGGCAGCAAGGGAAGGAAAGAACGAAACAAGTTATGTAACCTTATAATATTTGTATCTCAGAAGAGCTTAAATATCTTGATAGAGTGTACAACTGTGCTGTTTAATAGGAATATAATGTGAGCCACGTATGTAATTAAATATATTTTAGTGGTCACATTTAAAAAGGTTAAAAGAAACAGGTGAAATTAATTTTAATACATTTTAAAATCAGTAATTAAAATATTAATGATGTTTTGATTTTTGTGTGTGTAGGTGTTAAGTCTTCAAGATCTGGTGTGCATATTTTATACTTACAGAACTGCTCAGTTTGGACCAGCCACATTTCAAGTACTTCATTAGTATATGTTGTAGTGGCTACTATAATTGACAGTGTGGATGTAGAAGATCTTGAATAATGGAAAAACATTTGACTAAGACTTGGATTTTAGCTTGAGTTTGATACTTTTTAACTGTATGTTCTTAGATGTGTCACTTAATCTTGCTGGCTGTACTTTCTTTTTATATAAATTATCAAGCTAAGGTTAGATAATCTTGCTCAAGTTTTTTATTTTATGAAAAATTATAGAAAATAAAAATGTCTGAATGAACTTAATTTTTTTCCACTCTAAGGTATGCTGTTATTGTTATTAATTTACTCATTCATGTTTTATAGTTCCCCTAAATTCAGTATTATTCTTTCTGAATGGTAATCTTTTATTCCGAAACTATTAAGTATCTCTTTGCACGACACTGTGCTAGCCACTCGAGCTTATCTTAATATGTGATTTATTAAGATGAATATGATAAAGTTAGGAATGACATAGGTGAACAGATAACTTCAACAAAAGGAGCAATAACTTGATCAGAAAGAGTAATATCTCTTCTGAACTGGGAAGGGAGGAAAAATGGATTGATATATAAGTTTCCAGAGGGACTGAGGGCAGGAAGTTGAGGGAGTTCATGCCAGATGACCTTTATTTTCCTCTTTAATGTAGGAGTGAAATCCTAACATATACCAAAGATATATTTGGGTAATTAATTGTTATTGGTATATAATAGGGATATAGTTAATACTTTTTTTAGAGGCTGACTTTTTTTATATCAATGATTTAACAGGTTTATCATGACAGTGAGGAAGGTCAGAGATACATACAGTTTTATAAGCTAGGGGATTTCCCCTATGTTTCCATCTTGGATCCACGGACAGGTAATATTTATTTTATATCAGCTTACAGCATTTGACTTATGACTTATTTTTCAGTTACCTAAATAATTGATCTTTAATATTTGACTGGATTCAGTTTCAGAATTCTTTGTAATAACTTAGGTGAAGGGTTTTTATTCATGTCCTTTAGAATTATTTAAACGTCTATTGAAATGTGTTAGGGAGTCTGTTTCTGACAATTTGGGGAGATGATAGTATTTTATATTTTTTCAGTTCTGTACTTTCAAAAACTTACTGTTTTATCTTTCTTGTTATATTATAGGGATCCCCTTAGGTATTCTATTATTAAAATATTAAGATTATTCAGGTACTGGTTGTAATCCCACCAGAGAAGCGGAGTGTAAAGCTGGTTTATTATTAATGAGTTAAGTTTTATTAAGATTTCGCTTCGTTTGAATCTCTTCTTCCTAAATGGCAATAAGTGGTATCAGCAGATAAAGAAGTTGCCTGATGGCTGGGAATCTTAGGTTGGCTATAATTTTAATGTATTATTTAAGTTATGAAAATGCTGTGTAACTTAAACTGGCGAAGGATGGAGATATGTGTTCCCAAAATTTTAATTCTGCAAATGCCAAAACTTTTAATTATGCATTATCTCTTAATGAGAATGTTGAGCCTGCATGTTGATTTTATTATATTTATATATCTTGGTTTTTAATTTTTAGGTCAGAAGCTAGTAGAGTGGCACCAGTTAGATGTATCTTCTTTCTTGGACCAAGTGACAGGATTTCTGGGTGAACATGGGCAACTGGATGGACTTTCTAGCAGTCCCCCCAAAAAGTGTGCCCGTTCAGTAAGTATGACTAAGAAGTGATAATGGGCTATTAAGTGTAATTGTATATGGATGTCTTGTGTAAAATGTTTGAGGTTAAGCTCTTAATAATGCAAGTATTGCACAGTTATAATCTGTGGCTGTACAACATCTTTGATGCCCTCCTTATATTTTGATAATTTCCCACATGTGGATTCTGTCCTCTAAATGAAATCATAAGATTCATATTCCCAGTCTCCTTTGTAGTTAGGGTACAGGCATGTGACCTGAGACCTCGGTTTAGAAGTAAACAATGTGAATATGTAGCGGTGAGGAGGAAGATTGATTTGGCAAGCCCCAGTGATGGAGGAATCCACTTCTTTCAAGGGCAGCATTGCCAGGTCTAAGCAGCAGTAAAAATGATATTTTGCTAGAAAACTCTCATGGTATAGTTGGTCATTATTACTGGTTATATAGCTTTAGGGCCTGGCTCTCTAGCCCACCCAGAGATTATTTCTACACTTAATTTCTTTAATATGCTGTTATTAGCCAGACCTATTTGATAATTGGTATAAATATTAATTGCAAATAATGGACCTACAAAGATATCAGAGTTTCACATTGGTTGTAGGAGCTGTTAAAATTTGATTGGCAATGAGGATAAAATTAGTTTTAGAAGATAAGACTTAACAGTCCATATGATGCAGTGATGAAACTGTTACTTTTAAGTAATCACCTAGAATAAAGTTAGTGCCCATTTAACAAAAGGCTGTGGGTTGCTTGCCAAGGGGTGGTATAGAATGCCCCCCATTATGCAGAACGTTTTTATTTAGGGGGACACAATAGTGCAGAACTAAAACATTGTTACACTTTATAGACTGTTTGTTTTTTTCATTGCTAAGAGAAGTTTTATTTACGTAGAAAGTCATTAAAAAACCCAGAGTTTCTATAATTGTCCTAAGAGAGTTTCTTATCTTTTGTAGTCATAAGGCTGATATTGTCAAAAACCAGAGCCTGAGTTTGTGAGTTGCTGAATTTCAACATAAATTGAGTTTACAACCTTACCAGTTCAGTTCTCTTATAAAAATTAAAGGACTTAGTGGAAAAGAGTGCAACCATAAAAATTGGACAAATACATAGGGATGATTTGGGCAACTTAGTACCTCAGACTTCACTTCTTATACTAATTCTCTGATTATTAAAAATTTTGATCAACTGTGTGCAAGAGAAACATCAACAAATAATGGCTTAAACAAGGAAGACATCTATCTGCTTTTCTCAGCAAGAAGTCCAGAAGCTAGCAGTCTAGGGATTGACTTTATGTATGTCATCAAGGAACCAGGTTCCTCCTCTTTTATTTTCCCCCTCCATCCCTAGTATTTGTTGGCTTTGTCCTCATGGTCACAGTTATATGCTAAGCTCCTAGGTCCAAGCATGGACAAGGAGGAGTGGGGTGATGCCTCTGTTATAAAGGTAAACAGCCACAGATAAGAGTTCTGCTTGTTTTAGCTGGACACTTTCTTGCACAAACTGAGGCTCTGTTAATAAGGAAGCAAAGAAGACAGGATGAGAGATAGGAAACTAGCAGTGTTCCTCAGTGTCGTTCTTTAAAATCAACCTATATGGTACATAGTGTTACTATCTGCAGTCTGTCCAAGCCATTGCATGTCATATGGGCACATCTGTTTGCTTTTCTGTGTGTGTGATAAATTAGCCTTAAGTTTATTATATTTAAAATTTTTTATTGCTTTATAATTACTGTGCAATAAACTGAACACATTTAAAATGACAAATTTTGATATGAGTATTTTTTCGTGTGCTTTTTTTGCTATCTCTTTTGATGAAGTGTCAATTTAGATAGATCTCTGGCATCTTACTGAGTCGTAAGGGTTCTTTTTTAAAAAATCCTTACCTGAGCATATGTTTTTTTATAATTTTAGAGATTGGAAGAGGGAGGGAAGAGAGAGAGACATCGATCAGTTGCCTTCTGTATGCACCCAAACCAGAGACTGAACCTGCAACATAGATATGTGCCCTGACTGTGAATCGAACCCACAACCTTTTGGTGCATGGGACTATGCTCCAACCGAGTCACCTGGCCAGGGCTGCAAGGGTTCTTTTTATATTCTACATATAAGTCCTTTCTTGGATATATGGTTTGTAGATATTTTCTCCCAATCTGTTACTTGCTTATACATTTCATAATAGTGTCTTTTGAAGAACAAATTTTAAAATTTTGATGAAATTCAATTTTTTAACTTTTATATTTTGTGCTTTTTGTCTTAATGTAATAAATCTTTTTTTATAGTTTTAGCTCTTAAGTCAGTGACTCTCTTTGAATTAATTTTTGTGTTAGGGTAGGGTCTAGTTGGGGTTTTTTGGTTGTTCATATGTGGCTATACACTTTTTCCAGCATCATTTGTGGAAAGATTATCCTTTCCCCATTGAATTGCCTTTGTACCTTTGTCAAAAATTGATCATATATGTGTGGATTTATGGACTCTATTCTTTGCAGTGACTATTTATTTATTTATTTATTTATTTATTTATTTATTTAAAATGTTTTTATTGATTTCAGAGAGAGGAAGGGAAAGGGGGAGAGAGAGAGAAACATCAATGATGAGAGAGTCATTGACTGGCTTTCACCTGCACGCCCCCTACTGGGGATCGAGCCTGCAACCTGGGCATGTGCCCTTATGGTAATTGAACTGTGACTTCCTGGTTCATAGGCCAATGTTCAACCACTGAGCCACGCCAGCCCGGTGGTACAAATTTCTTTATACCAGTATTTCACTGTCTTAATGATTATGGTAGCTTTATAAATCTTGAAATCTCGTGCTTAAGTCCTCCAACTCTGTAGTAGTTCTGGTTTTTTCAGGTCCTTTGCATATAAGTTTTAGAATCAGCTTGTCACTTTCTACAAAGAAAGCTACTAGGACTTTGATTAGAATTGCATTGGCCCTATGGATCATTTTGGAGAGAATTGGCATTCTGAATCTGCAGATCTGTGAACGTGGCATATAGTATATTTCATTTATTTAAGCCTTGAATTTTTCTCGGCAATGTTTTGTAGTTTTTAAATAATGACCTTGTAGCCCGCAACCCTGCTATACTCACTAGTTCTAATAGCTTTTTGTAGATTCCTTTGAATTTTCTATAGAAACAGTCATATTATCTGTAAATAGACTTATTTTATGTTTTCCTTTACAACCTCTTGCCTTTTATTTATTTTTTCTTAGTTAGAACCTCCAGCACAAAGTTAAACAGAAGTAGTGAGATATTAGACATCTTTGTTTCTGGTGTTGGGGTGAAAGTATTGTCTTTCACCCATTAAATTTGATGCTAGCTATATGTTTCTTGTATGTATACTTTATCAGGTTGAGGAAGTTTCCTTCTATTCCTAGTTTGCTGAATTTTTATTAAAAGGGGATTTTGTCAGATGATTTGTCACATCTATTGAGATGATTGTACGGTTTTCTATTTTTAGTGTATTTCATTGGTGATTTTTTAATGTTAAAGCACCCTTTCATTACTGTGCTAAAACCCACCTGGTTATGATGCATTACTTTTTAATATATTTCTGTCAAAAATTTTTGTGTGTATGTTCATGAGAGATACTGTTTGTAGTTTTTGTGTGTGTTTGTTTTGTTTTTCTTGTACTATCTTTGTCTGGTTGTAGTATCAGGTTAATGCTGGCCTTCCAATGAATTGGGAAGTGTTTCCTCCTGTTATGTTTTCTGGAAGAGTTTGTGTAGAATTATGTTTCTTCCTTAATATTTGATGACATTCACCATGAAATAAACCACCTGGGCCTAGAGTTTTGTTTGTAGGAAGTTATAAACTACAAATTCATTAATAGATATAGGACTGCTCAGGTATCTATTCTTTAAATCCTCACCCGAGGATATTTTGCCATTGCTTTTCAGAGAGAGTGGAAAGGAGAAGGGTGGGAGAAAGCACTGATGTGAGAGAGATACATCAATTGGTTGCCTCCCAAACTGAAAGGGTCCAGGGATGGAATCTGCAACTGAGGTATGTGCCCTTGGCTGGAATCAAACAGGGGACCCTTCAGTTCACATGCCGACACTCTAACCACTGAGCCAAACCGGCTAGGGCTTTAATGAGATTTAGTAGATTGTGTCTTTCTAAGCATTTGTCCTTTTTACCTAAGGTGTCATTCCTTGTAATTCCTTTAATGACTGTAGTGTCTGTAGTGATGTGCCCTCTCTCAATCCTGTTATAGTGATTTGTTGCTTCTTTTTTTTCCTCACAGTTTTATTAATTTAAAAGCTTTTGGTTTCATTGATTTTTTTCTTCTGTTTTCTAGGTCATTGATTGATTTCTGTCTTTTCTCTTTTTCCTTCTGTGTAGTTGAGTTTAATTTTAGTTTCTTATTTTAAAGAAACTAAAAGTGGGTACTTTTTAAAAATTTAATCTGGAAACTTAGGGAATTAATTGAGAGCATCTTTTTTTAATATAGGCGTTTAGTTCTATACTTTCTCTGTAAGTGCTGCTTTAGCTCCATACCACAAGCTTTTTCTAGCTGCAAGGGAAACTGGTAAATGGAATTTTTTAGCTTGTTATGTTTTCTTTTATGGACATTATTAGGATTCTGTAAGTAAGGAATTAGGAGAATGGATATTGGCTAGGAAGCCAGCAATGTCTGCCATGGTGACAATCTTTAAAATCAAGCTATGTGCTGTGCATTTTTGTTTGTTTGTTTGTTTTGTTTTGTTTTATAAATATATCTTTATTGATTTCAGAGAGATGAAGGGAGAGAGATAGAAACATCAATGAGGAGAGAGTCATTGATCATTTGCCTCCTGCATGCCCCCAATTGGGGACTGAGCCCACAACCTGCTCATGTGCCCTGACCAGAACCGAACCACGATCTCCTGGATCCTAGGTCGACACTCAACCACTGAACCACGCCTGGGCGGGCTATGCATTGTTATGTTATAAACCTGCAGTCCACCTAAGCCATTGCAGGTCACGTGGGCACATGTACTTGCTCTTTTTTTTTTCCGGTGATAAATTAGCTTCAACTTTATTTTTTGCTGTATTATTTGCAGCTAGTGAAAGCCAAAATGAGATCCCTTTCGTTTTTTTGTTTGCAACCCATACTTTTTTTACCTTTTTATTGTGGAAATTTTTAAGGATATTCAAAACTCCAAGGAATTTATTGAACCTGTATGTATCCATTAACTGCTTATCAATAAGTAGCCTGTCTTGTTCTACGTATATCCCATCTTGTTCACATTATTTTGCAGCAAATCTCAGAATTTGTTGTTTTGTTCATTATACTTTGGTATGTGTCTTTAAAAGACAAAGGCTCTTTTTTTTAAGGCCTTCAAGTAAAAGTTTTATTTATTTATTGAATTTATTGGGGTGACATTAGTTAATAAAATTATATAGGTTTCAGGAGTACAATTCTGTAATACATCATCTGTATATTATGTTGTGTGTTCACCACCCCAAGTAGTTTCCTTCCATAACCATTTATCTCCCCATACCCTCTTCTACTTCCCCCCACCTCCCTTTCCTCTGATAATCGCCATACTTTTGTTTGTGTCTATGAGGTTTTGGGGGATTTTTTTTCCTTACGCCTTTCACCTTTTTCACCCAATCCCCTGACCTGGTCCCCTCCCCTCTGACAGCTGCCAGCCTGTTCTCTGTGGACAAAGGTTTTTTTTTTTTTTTTTTTTTAAATATCTTTATTCATTTCAGAGAGAGGAAGGAAGAAGGAAAGAGAGAGAGATAGAAACATCAATGATGAGAGCGTCTTCATTGATCAGCCCCCAACTGGGGATCGAGCCCACAATCTGGGCATGTGCTCTGACTGAGAATCAAACCATGATCTCCTGCATCCTAGGTCTATGCTTAACCGCTGAGCCAAAGGCTCTTTTTAAAAACACAATCACAATACCATTAACACACCCTTTAAAAATTAATAGTAATTTTTTAACATCATGAGATGTAACATCCAGTGTTCAGCTTATGGTTATCTTACAGATTTTATTTTTTGTATAGTTTTGTTTGAGTTAGAATCTAAATAATTTCCACTCAAACAGTGCTTTTTTATAACTGGAAGGTTATACTTTTTTTTTTTTAATATATCTTTATTGATTTCAGAGAGAGGACGGGAGAGGGAGAGAGAGAGATAGAAACATCAGTGATGAGAGAGTCATTGATCGGCTGCCTCCTGCATGCCCCCAACTAGGGATGGAGCCCGCAACCCGGGCATGTGCCCTGACTGGGAATCGAACCCTGATCGCCTGGATCCCAGGTTGACGCTCAACCGCTGAGCCACGCCCGGCCAGGCTGTACTTCTTAATCTTCTCTTTTTTTGCTCATCCCCTCACCCAATTCCCCTCTGGCAACCATCAGTTTGTTCTCTATTTATGAGTTTGTTTCTGCTTACTTTTGTTTGTTTGTTTTAGATTCCACATATAAGTGAAATCATATGCTATTTGTTTTTTTTACTGACTTATTTCACTTAGCATAATACTCTCTAGTTTCATCCATATCACAAATGACAAGATTTTACTATTTTTTTATGGCTAATATTCCATTGTATGTATGTATCACATTTTCTTTATCCATTCATTTATTGATGGACACCTAGGTTGCTTACATATCTTGGCTGCTATAAACAATGCTGCAGTGAATATAGGGTGCATATATCTTTTCGAATTAGTGTTTTTCATTTTCGTCGGATGAACACCTAGAAGTAGAATTGGTGGGTCACATGGTAGTTCTATTTCTAATTTTTTTGAGAAATCGACAGACTTTTTCTCGTAGTAGTTGCACTAGTTTATAATCCCACTAACCGTGCATGAGGGTTCCCGTTTTTCTACATCCTCGCCAACACTTGTTCTTTATTGTCTTTTTGACAATAGCCATTCTTTGTGGTTTTGATTTACATTTCCCTAATGACTAGTGATGTTGAGCATCTTTTCGTGTGTCTGTTGGCCATCTGTATGTCGTCTTTTGAGAGATGTCTGTCTATTCAGGTCCTCTGCCCATTTTAATTGGATTGTTTGTGTTTTTGATGTTGAGTTGTATGGGTTCTTTTTATATTTTGGATATTAACCCCTTATCAGATGTATCAGGTCTTACATTTAAGTTTTTAATCCATTTTGAATTTATTCTTGTATATAGTATAAGAAGGTGGTCGTTTCATTTTTTTGCATGTGGGCATTCAGTTTTCCCAGTACCATTTATTGAAGAGACTGTCTTTTCCCCATTGTATATTCTTGCTTCCTTTGTTGTAGATTGACTATAAAAGCATGGGTGTATTTCTGGGCTTTCTATTCTGTTCCATTGTTTTCTGTGTCTGTTTTTATGCCAGTACCATACTGTTTAATTACTGTATCTTTGTAGAACAGTTTGAAATCAGAGAGTGTGACACCTTCCGTTTTGTTCTTTTTCAAGATTACTTTGGCAAACAACCCATATTTTGTGACTGAATGAGTTTAGTGAAATCTGTGGCATTAGAACTTGACCAGAAGGAAGACTATTAAATTTGCATTTCTCATGATCACAATGAAAATCTTATTGTAATTAAGTTTGGGAAAATATAGTTGTTTTTCCCAATTTACTGTATGGTATTTTGTTTTGTTTTGAATGTTAGAGATCTGTTAGGTTTTGTTTTTTGTTTTTCCCCCCAAAACAATAATTACTGTGTTATTTATTGATATTCTTCTGTGTGGCAAAACAGTGCTAACTGAAAAATATAATGGTGAGCAAGGTAGACATGCCTCTTTGTATAGTCATGTTAAAAACTAATGTTTTTGCTTTATATTTAAAACCTTAATTCTTGTCTTTTCCTGGGCAGTCAGTAAACTGTTTTCTTAATTTTATTCATTTTGATATTTAAAAAATTCCCTGTGCTTGCAACATCATTATGCCAGGTGGTATGACAGTTTTTATTTTTGTTTTCAAACTATCCATTCCAACTTCGCTGTGTAAGACAGAGTCATTGCTCTCAAATAGCTGAAAATTTAGTAGAAGAGATACATTTAATAGAAATAATAGTGGCTAACTGACATATTTCTCATGCCTTGTTTGACTTGTCTATCTATTTTTTGGTTTAACTGTTTTCTTTCTCTTTCCACCCATGTTTTATGACTGCATCTTGCAGGAGAGCCTTATAGATGCAAGTGAAGACAGCCAGCTAGAAGCTGCCATCAGAGCCTCCTTGCAAGAGACACATTTTGATTCATCACAGACAAAACAGGATAGCCGCTCAGATGAAGAATCTGAATCTGAACTTTTTTCTGGCAGTGAGGAATTCATATCTGTTTGTGGCTCTGATGAAGAAGAGGAGATAGAGAACCTTGCCAAGTCCAGAAAGTCTCCCCACAAAGATTTGGGGCATAGAAAAGAAGAGAACAGAAGGCTGCTGACTGAGCCCTCACCCAGAACTGAGCCTGGAACAACTGCAAACCATCAAGGATTGCCAGCCATGGATTCAGAAATATTGGAGATGTCACCTGAAAAATCTGATGGAATAGTGGAGGGCATAGATGTAAATGGTGAGTTATGTTCTAGACTTACTTTACTTGAAACTTCAACATTACTGAAGGGATGTATTTATTTGTTTAAATTAGTCTTCCATCTTAAGCTCTTGTCTCTTTTTTTAACCCCAGGACCAAAAGCACAGCTGATGTTGCGGTATCCAGATGGAAAAAGGGAACAGATCACTCTTCCAGAGCAAGCTAAATTGCTAGTAAGTATATCTAATTGGAAGTGCTTGCTTGAAGGAGAGAAACTAATTAATTGATGTAATTGGCTTGATGATTCTTTGAAATAAGTGTTAGGTATTCAGTCTGACCTCTAACTGGAAATTTAACTGAGGTTAATCTTAATTCTAATTAGTATATTTCCTTCCTGAATTATCTTAGGCAGTCAAGGCTTTTCTATTCCATGGCTGCATTTTATTTTCCAAATGAAATTATTACCCAGAAAAGGGGAATGAAAACTATAATGGGGCTTCTGGCTTTCTTGTAGCTGGAACTGCAAAGTGGTTAAGAACGAAGGCCATTTTTCTGTTCATTTCTCTCATGGGGCCTGTTCGGTTTCCCCTTTGTAATTCTCTGCTTCATACCATTGTTCTCTCTGTATACTGGTGGCTTTTGTTTACTTCTAAGTTTGTACGTGGTCCATCATAGTGATGCTGAGGGCCTTATCCTCTAAAGTCCATAGCTGATAGACCTTTCCTCTGTCTTTTTTAACTCCTGGAAAAGAAAAGGAGTCTGACTAGCTTAGCTTAGCCTATAAATGAATCCCCCTTTGGTCAGGTGTTTTTACCTGGCCATTTTCTGTGACGAGGTAGTCAGGTCTGGCTGCTGATACCCAGACTGTTTCCTAGGTCTCATATTTGGAAGGAAATGTGAGATGAGACAGTGGATGGAGCACTTTTTTGAGAAGTTTGGTTGTGAAGCTATAGGGGGGAAAATGATTGAAGGAGAGACTGAGCATGTTTAAGTCTAAGGGGAAGCATCTGTAGAGAGGGAGATGTTGAAGGTACCTATAAAAGCAGGGATGTTCTGTAGTGGCATGGTTTCTGAGAAGGCAAGAAGGGGTTGCACAGGTGGCAAGACTGGCTATAGGTAGAATGAAGGATGTAACTTTGCTGATAAAAAGATGGAAGGGAAAATGAATCAAATGTTTAAAACCAAGGATAATAATTATATATATAGATAGTGGGTTTGTTTATTGAGGAAACAGTAATAACCTTTTATATTTCAGTATCACTTACTGGCCCTAAATTACTGGATACAGGTTTATTATCTCCCCATCCAACAGGTTATATTGCCCTTCCACAAGGTTAAACTTCAGTTATCTGAAAGAATAAGTTCAACTTCATATCTAATATGATAAAAATGAATGTTATAAATGTAATTCTTTAGTATGCTCTTTCTATTTCTATCTAACTGCCTTGTCTTCCTTTGGTTTTTCATAGGCTTTGGTGAAGCATGTCCAGTCTAAAGGATATCCAAATGAACGTTTTGAACTTCTCACCAACTTCCCTCGAAGAAAACTCTCCCATCTGGACTATGACATTACATTACAAGAGGCAGGCCTTTGTCCTCAAGAGACTGTCTTTGTACAGGAAAGAAATTAACATCATGGCCTGACCTCTCTCAGCTTACCCCTTTTTTCCCTTTTCCTGTGAGATACCATGTCACTGAGTATGCACTTTGGCTCATAGGACCATAGAGCCAAAGTTGGGCAAGCAAGTCACCTGCCTCCTCTTTTATTCCTTGCTCTCTCTTATAATAAGTCTCTCTCACTCCCTATCCCCCCTTTCCCCCCTCTCCTCTCCTATATTTTCTTTTTCCTACTTTTCTTTCTTACCTAATCAGGTGACCAAATGGAAGTGTAAGGATAAGACCTCCTAGTACTGGCAGCAGGAAATGTGTGTTCCAATAAGTGGTCTCTTGCATGGCACTTTTTGGGGATCAAATGATAATGTTACTACTCCTCAGACTCCTTTGGTAAAGGAATGACTAGATTCAGAATAAGAACAACCTCCCTTTTTTATAAGCCCCATTTTTAGTAGGAAGAAATTCTCTAACACGTTTTGTTTTGTTTTATTGTTCATGTAAAAAATATCCAGGCTTTTGTTTACATGGAAAAAGCATCCCTCCTAATTATTATTCATCATATTTTAAAATTACTTTAAAGGATTCCCATCCTTCCAGCTAGAATTATTTCCATGAGATGTGTTATTGGCAAAATGAGTGTTAAATGTTGGGTGAGTAGCATGGGGTGGCTTTCAAATATCCTAGCCTGAGACAGCTTTCTTTGTTACTACTCTACAAACTATTGATCCTGCTAGTCCTGGAATGGACTTTTAGTGAGTATATTGTGGTGCCTGGTATAGGAAGGTGCTTGCTGTTTTTGCCAGTACAGCATATTAGTTCGTTTGGCCCTTCCGTTGTTTGGGTCCACAAGTGATCTATAGGAAGGCAGCTATTCAATAATCATGCAGTACAGTGGCTTGTAGTTGTAACCACTATGGTTATTGATTGTCCTATGTGCTTTAGGCATACTTATGTATGTCCTGAGGGAAAAAGAAAAAGATGCAGCTGAGAGTAGCTAACCATGTTCCTTTGGTTAGAAATAAAATGATTCATTTTTTACCCCTGGTTGGAACAGTCTCTAAAAGGCTCTGGTGACTAAATGAGCTCAATTCCTCATGCTTTTTCTTGCAAAAGGTCTCAAAACTGAATGCCTGTCTAAGAAGACTTTTAAATTCAATTCATAAGACAACATTTAGTAAGGGCAGTGGGGAAGATTGCCAGTAGTCTTCAGATATGGGGGTTTTTTTTCTGCCAACAAAAGCCACATTCAAATTGTAGTTGGTGAAAGTTTTTTTCAGTATTGTTTAAAAGATGCCATATTGAATCTACATAACACTATTCGACTTATCAGCTTCACTATATGCTCAGTTCTTATTTTGAGCTTTAAATAGAGTCTTCTGAAAAGGTAGTGGTGATTCTGGTGGCAAAATCAGAACTTTAACTTGCTATAAAATGGACCTTATTTCATCAAATTGGGGATTTAGATTGATTGATTTTTCTGTTTGAGGAACATAAATTGCTATTGCTCAGAGACCTTTAGGTTCCCATCTGTTTTAAGATCACTCTCTTGGTAACTAGGGGATTTTTTTAAAAGATGCTTATGTGTTGCTAGTACTCAATTAGAGAATATGGTTTCTAATGGTTGACTTTTGAGGGACCCACCCTAAAGAACGAGTAATGTTTCTCCTCAAGGAAATCATGGAAAATTCTGTTTATTCTTCAGTGAGTCCTTTTGGATTAATGTTCTTACATTTTTTCTAAGTCTGTGTAAGTGCTTATGTATAAGTATATAATTGTATAAATATTTATAAATATATTTATATAATTACAATTTCATTTATACCTTGAGTCAAAGTTCTCTCTTTAGATTGGTGACTGAGTAATACCACTTTGGTGTTTTTTCATAGACTCTTGAGGCTAACTAGCAGCTTCTGAATTTTGAGGAAATACGGTTTTCATGTTAATTCCTTAATTGTATCTCTGAACTTGAATAATAGACTTACCATCTAAGGAATAGAGCTATGTACTATCAAAGATGCATTAGAGGGTGAAAAAATTATTGGTAGTAGACAAGGTCAGAATCTAAAAATTCAGGGAGGTACAGGGTAAGAAGTGAGGGTATGCCCAGTTTTGGTGCTAGGATGGCACCTGTCTCCACTCAGCAAAGTCAAGTCACAGCTACAGCCCAAATCTGTCAAAAATGCGAAGTCAGGAACTTTCCCTGTAGGATTCTCTTATTCTTTTACTGATTAGCTTCTCTTTAGAAAACATGTCTAGAGAACCCGAGACAACATGTTCATTAATGATAGGATGTAGTTTTTTTGATAAGCTCAGCCCTGGCATATCCTTGTATGAGAAACCAAAGTGACTTTTTCAACTGTGAAATGACCAAGTATATATATAAAGTGACTTAAGCATATTAAAGAGGTGGGGCATGAGATACTGACTCAACTTAGAGACATCTGGGGTGTTTCGAGTACAAGATGTAAAGGATTTTATTTTATTTTATTTTGAGGCAGGAGTGTAATTATCCTGGGCTTGATATAGAGGCTCATGGGAAGGAGGGATTATGGGTTGTACATGGGAAGAGTGAATAAAGAATATTGCTTTACTCAAAAACTTATTCCACTTGGGGAGTATACTTCCTCTAGTTTGTCTTATTAACTCTGCAAATTCCTTTGCTCTTTGGAGGAGGGGTTTTATTGAATAGATTAAATGAGGTTAGTAAGGTAATTACAAATAGTTTAAAATAGTCATTCCTTGTATGTATTGGAAACAGCTTGAAAGATTATAAAAGTTAGGGATGAAAAGAACAAAATAGACTTTGAGAGTAAGTGATGAGACAAATACAGGGAGATAAAATGAAAACTAGAGGGGGAAAAAGTAACAGGAAACCTCTTTTGAACTTGATTTAGGAAGGAACCAGAGAAGAGAGAGAACAGTCAAATGAGGGAAGAACAGGGAACTAATTTTGAGTAATTAACATGTGCTAGGTACCTTATATGCATTTTCTCCTTTAATCTTTCTAAGAACTCTACAAAATGCATATTTCCCCCATTTCATAGATAAGAAAGAAAATTGAAGTTCAGAGAACTTGTTCAGGATGTCACAGCCAGTAAGTGGCAAAATCAAAATTGGCCTCCAGAGTCCGTGCTCTTTTCACTGCCATGCTGTCGTCTCCTACCGGGAATCAGCCAAAAGGTTATCTTCTCGTTTGGCTCTGTAAAGTATCATTTGGTTATATTTCCTTAAAGCTGGTGGGATTTGTGCTATGCCTATAAATTCTTATTTACACCATTATTTTGAGGAGCTGATTATTGTTTTCTTGAAATGACAGACTGATAAAAATGTGAAAGGAAAATAGCTATGTGGCATTATTTGCCAAGAATAAATAAGAATAAATAAAAATTCTTTTAAAAAAGAATTTTATCTTTTTTAAAACAGTTTTCAGAAAAGATAGAATTATCTTTTCTATATCCCACCCATACCAGATTATTGAACCCTTTTATGTATATGTTTTAAAATATTCTACAAAATTCTTCTTAACTATATAAGTCAGTTATTTATTGAGTTCTTAATCAAAGTTAAAAACATCTTGAAATCTTATGACCTAGTTCCTGCCTGTTTTACCCAGTTGGAGGGACACACTACATGAGATAATCGGAGAACGTGCAAATGCTTATGTTTCTGGGGCTGAGAATAGTTGGGACAGTCTTTACAAAAATATAAAACTGAAAAGTGGCAAATACTGTAGCTCAAGTTTTCTTTTGACTCACCTGAATTCTTTAGTTGCAATTTTTGTCACTACTTAGGGCATGATGTTTATCATATCAGTAAGGCATACTTAAGACACAAATAGGAAAGGATTACTGGTCCCAGGACTAAAGATTTTAGCCAGCAGGGCACTTAGGAAAATACTAGAAGGAGCCACTAGCAACTGAAAAGTGAAGGAGAGGTTTAATTTCTCTACCCAGGTACAAATTAAATGTATATTATATATGATACGCAGAAGGGGCACTACATGTAGGCATAAGTGCACTTGGGTAACAGCTCTGCTACTAGTTAACAGCAAATTGGACTAGATCAAGAGTTCTCAGTCTGTTCAAGTAAAAGAACTTGTGATTTTAAAATTTGGCATGGGTGGGGAACTGTGGGGTTAAGTATTAATATCAAACATTTCATTGATGAAAAAAATGTAAATATGCATATGGAATTGCAGACCCCTTGCAGAAACTAGGAACCCACAGATTGTAGACCACTGAAATTAGATTATCTCTGAAGTCCTTTCCATTCCAAAATTTTATGCGTCTAGTCTCTCCTCTTTATTATATATTATCCCTAGGCTAATTAAAAGTATACTTGTTAATCAGTTCCTTTGCTCTTTTTCTGTGTCCAGGTTTCATTTTCCCAATAACTAACCTCACTTGACTGAAATCTCCAGAAAGGAAAGTATAATAGTTATAGATCTAGTAATGATCTTTTAAACACAATTCATTAATTTAAAAAACTTAATGCAGTATTTCTAAGCATTGTTGAGTGTGACTAAAATGTAATTAATGCGAACCAAATATTTCACTGACACCAGAGTTAAATTTTATTTTACCTGTGTGCTTAAATAAAGCACTTTATTCACTGAGCAATTGTTAGGAAATCAATTTGTGTGGGTTGTGAAATTTACTTACTTTTGGCAGAAACAACGTTTTCAGATCCAGTTAGGCTAACTTTCAAAAATATTTCTTACCCCACAGAGTGTATCTCCACTGTGTCATTCTTTCTCCTCTCCCTCTTTAATTTTACTACCTAATAGTAAATCTTAGGGTGCAGGTTGATATATAAGTAATGTGTAAAAGTACATGAGAGTGGGAAGAATCAACCCTCTGATGAACATGGCAGTTTTCAAAAAATAGAAGTCTTGATGAAAAGGGTACTTAAAGACATCTGTGTACTATGAATATTCAACTTTATTGATTTGCCTTGCTTAACACTTCAGTTACTGTCTTGCCATGAAACTTAATTGCACTGTACACGTTAGCATAGTGACAAGAATGTTCTTTAGTACTGAAAATAACCAACAGAGAATACCAAGCCCATATGTTGATATCTCCTGTTATGAGAAATTTGGTATTTTAATGATGGTTATTTTGGTCTTTGGCTCACCTGTGTGTCAGTCCTGCTAGAGAGGCCACTTAGAATCAAGAGTATTTTTCATAGAGATTCTGATAACCTTGGTAGTTTTCCCATTGAAGTGAACTTGTGGTTCAAGTTACTGGACGTAATGATATGGGACCCTTAATTAAAAAATCTTTTAATCCTTTTACTTTTCATTCTCTGTTCCTGATTTTTCACATCCATTCTCTGAAAATTAGTCAAGATTTTTAATGAAATTGGCTATGTTTAAGAAATTCACGTCTAAGTTTTAATATGTAACATTTTAAATTTTTTTATAAATTAGTATACAAAGGAAAAATTTGAGGCAAACATCATTTTTATAGCTCATTTTCTCTCTATTTAAGCCTTCTTTTATTCCAAATATAGAATGGCTAGCTCATGACACCCCTCCCCCCTTTTTGGCTTACAGAATGCTCTCGTATTATTGCTTAGTCATTCTCATGAACATGATTTTTGGTACAGGCCTTTCTTTGCCATATGATCTGAAAGTAGAGTTGGGTAATGCAATACAAGCTACGTTAATAAAACAATTTAGCATCTCTTTAAAGTTTTTTTTTTAATTTATTTGTAGAATTAGAAATACAAATAATGGTAGTATTTTGCCTAAGAACAGTCACATATTAATCAATATGAGAAGTTCCCTTGTACTTAATTCTGGTGCAACAGACAGCAAGATTTTGTTGTTTGCTTAATGGTATTTCCTCTACAGGGATCAAAATGCCCTAAGCTTTTATATTCCTTTTGAGGTCACTTGGGTTTTCAAATAAAAATAGTCAAACTAAGCTGTATGGAACAAATTGAACATAAAAATTTTATCTCCATTAAAAGAAGTTATTGATCTAACAGAACTACCACAAATATTCATTTATTAAGCATAAATAAAGTAGGAAACATTTCAAATCATTAGATAAATTCGAACCTGAAACTGAATTCTCCCTTCCTTAAAATCTTTTTTATTTGCTTTTTTCATGGCGTCAATATGGGCATCTTAACTGATAAGAGATTCTTGATCTGGAACCATTCCCTGCCATTCTGCTTTTCTTTCCTGTCAGAGTCACTGGCTTTAGAGTATTGTACATGTCACCAGAATCTATTTCAAGTTAATGACATTGAAATGTTGATGCTCAGTTGGATATGTTGCTGTTTTCAACAAAATGGTTTTATAATATGCTTTCTCAAAACGTCTGTGTTCTTAATAATGGAAAATATCAATAAATTAAATGGTGTGATTCAAAATATAAATAGGTTTTGACACTAATCATATGCTATTAATAACTGATAATTTATTGCCCTGTAAGTAAGTTAGACCTCACATGGAGTGACCATTGCCACCAGAAAGTCTCATTTTACCTGCTAATTAGAATGAAAGTAGTGTGTGACCTCCGCTTTTTAGTTAATAAGTAGTAAGCTTATATAGTAGGGGCCATTTATCTTACCCATTTTGGGAGTTGGGCCTTGTTACTTTCCTGGGTTTGTCCCTTCACTTTGGAAAGGCAATTTAAAATACTTGCTAGGAAACAGTAAATCTATGAGATAATCCTCTAGTCTTAGATTTAGAGAGATGAGTACCAGTTTATGATAACATGACTTTTAGACTTTGAGGGACTTTTGGCATGAATCTGTTAGAAAAAAATTTATTCACTCCTTGAAGAACCTTTTTCTTAGGACGGTTTTCCTTTTGATTGTTAACAATTTCTATGCATCTGGTGTCTTTTTTTTTTTTTTTTTTTT